GGGAATCCAATTCGGCTCAAGGTTCAGACCGGAGCTCCATGTGCCCCCTGGTCGGTGCAGGTGGCTTTAAACCCTGCAGCTAGTGTGTGCTGGGGAGGGGAACAGAAGTCCCTGCAAGTCGTAGTCCCGCTGGCAGGGAAAGGGGGTTGAGGCTGGTTGTAGCAGAGTCCTGCGTTTCGCCTTGTTCCCTTCTTCCCACAACCAGTTTCTCTCCTCGTCACAGCTGAGCGGCAGTTTCCACCTTGAGAAGCGGGTGGTGGTTTTAACTACGGAAATGAAGAGAAATTCTAAGGCAGGCAAATGGACTTTTCTGAAGCATTTCTCACAAACGGCTGAGCAGAACCAGGCCCGATCCATGTGGGTACTAATGAAGGGAGGAGGGAGAACGTCCCTTACGCAAGACTTTCCGGCTGGTGCTTTGCTCTAGCTTTGTTGAGCCGGCTGTGTAGAACCCAGAGCAGGCAGATGCTGGGCGAGAGATCTGCCTGCGCATGGGCTTTGTAAAATCCAGTTAGCGCGAGAGTCTCGCCATTTCCATGACGTTTTCTGTGTAGCAAACTTTGGGAATCAGAACGCAAAGCTGGGTTGTTTCCCTTATTTACTTTTTAATGGATTGGTTGATTGCCTCCCCCTGCCTTCCCCTCCTCCCCAAATGTGAACCAAGTGCCAACCACTGAAACAGGTTTTATTGGTCGAGGAAGAGCCTGATTCTGTGCCTGCAACTCCCCTTTGAAACCAGCGAGCATCCCAAGGGCCCTGTGCGTGCGGGCCTGGCCTCTGGGGCACGAACATGGAGAGACCCTGCGCTGGTGCAGTACAGATAAAAGCCCTTAAGGCCAGGAGTTATTTTTATCTTTAGATGTAAGCAGGTGATGTGGTGAAACTCACAGTCACCTGTTTGGGGCTAGACATGTAGATTTGTGCCTGCAGAAATGTGCACGTGCCCTGTACCCGCTGTTACTTGGATTGCTCGCACAAAAGAGCAGTTGTGTGTCTAGCTGGCCAGTTAGCTGAATGAGAACTTATTAGGCACTCCGTTGTGGTGTTTGCACTCGTGTGTTTCTGCTCCACTGGGCTCGTGTCTTTAGGCCCACGATAGCACACACGCAGCTCTGAGGCAGTGGCCTTTGTCCTGTGGGGAAGGAGCATTTGGAAGGCTTGCCAGGTTGCTTCTGGCATGTCGATGGTTTTTTAAACAGTGGTGACTCTTGGGAAGGGTCAGGAATTAATTCCTTGCCAGGGCAGCATGTTGCTCATGTGTGTGCCCCCTCGGACACCAGAGCCGTGACGAGCTCGGAGCAGCGCAAGAAAGAAGAAAGACTTAAAGGCAAGAGCAAATGTACTCTGCAGTGCCTGGGATTTGCTGCATCTTCGCTTATTGCTCAAGAGCCCAAGCCGGGCACTGCAGGGACCCCTGTGTGTGTGACAGGGAGATAAAGCCACCGTGTCCAACCACCAGCTAAGACTGAGTGGCAGGAGCCTGCCACATACAATTGGACTTTAATGGTAACTTTGCCACAGCCCATCAGAGTCACCTATCAGACAGGGGTTGGGCTAGGATGAGACACTTCTGAGCAAACCCCGCAGTGCTGATATGGCCAGGAGAGCGCTCTCCCCTGGGGAATCCTGGCTCAGTGTCCCAGGACAGCACTGGGGGGCACAGTGCTTCGGGAGATGCTGTCTTTCAGATGAGGAGGTTTGAACCAGCTTTAGAGCCCCTTCTTGTAGCATTGCTTAGCTGTTATCCATCAGCCTTTTCTGAAAGTGGATTGGTATCATTACCCATGAGTTATCAGCTGTGGAAACCAAGGCACAGGGAGCTGACCTGATTTCTCGCAAGGTCAGTGACGGAGCTGGGATTAGAACCCAGGAGTCCTGGCTCCCAGTCTGGTGCCCTGTCAGACCATGCTGCAGTGGCGGGAGCACTGGGGGGCGTTCGGCCTATGGAAATTCTCCCCAGTGCAAACCTGACTGCAGCCAGCAAATGACGTCATTAGGTGACCAAGTTCTGCTGGTTGGTGCCTGTTGATTGGATGTTGCATGAAATTGGAGGCTGGGCTGAGGCCCCTTAAAAATGTTGCTCCACATTTATAGGTAAATTTAAATCGGAACAGTTAAAAATCCTTTCCCTTTGTTATTGACCTGCCACGATCTGAGTTCAGGGCTGGGCGTTTCCCTTGCTAATATGGGTGACATTGGTCTGCGTTCGGACGGAGCCCTGCCCCTGACGTGTGTTCGGGGGCTGTACCAAGGGGAACGGGGAGCCCTGGACTTGGGGCTTGACAGATCGAAAGCTTTTCCCTTCCATCTTTGCTTGGAGATTCGCTCTGGTACGTGGGGCTGGGAGGGTGGGGTGGGTGCAGGTCACCCTCTCCCTGCTGCTCCATTCTCGCAGGCAAGCCATGGGGCATTGTGTTTCGCGAGGACCCGGGGCTGGCCGCGTTCCAGAGAGCAGCGTTCTGGCCTGTGCCATATCAGAGAATGGGCAAGCAGAGGCCACAGGCATTACATAAGAGCGGCCACACTGGACCAACGGTCCATCAAACCCAGTATCCTGTCTCTGACAGGGGCCAGTGCCAGGTGCTTCAGAGGGAGTGAACAGAACAGGGCAGGCATTGAGTGGTCCATCCAGTCATCCAGTCCCAGTGTCTGGCAGTCAGAGGTTTAGGGACACCCAGAGCAGGGGGTTGTGTCCCTGCCCATCCTGGCTAATAGCCATTGATGGACCTGCCCTCTGGGAATGTGTCTAATTCTTATCCAATGCCCGGGCATTGCGGTGTCCCATTGATAGTCGTTACTGCTTTGGCCCGTGTGCCCAGTCCCTAGTGAGGAGCTAGGAGTGACACCACTTTGCAGCCTTCGTTTGGAAGGGCTGCGTCACCCTTGCCAGCACCCTTTAAGGCGGGCTACATAGGGGGGAGGGGTGTCCGTTCCCATTGACTTCACCTGGGGCCAGGCCTGTATCCGAGATTTTCTGTTTGCTACTTGATTTGCTTCTGCGTGGGCCTCTGCTTGTCTCTGTCGCTCGGCTTCAGAGCGGAGGCTTCTGGTTTTGTAACTGCACTGATCACGGCTGATAAAAATAGTCTGCTCCTCTCCATGCTGCTTCTCCGTGCCTGGTACATAAAAGCTCCCCTGACAAGCGCTGCCTGGCAGGTCTGCTCCTTGCCTCTGCCATCAGAATGTGCAGCTCCCTTAGTCTGGCGCAGGGAGGTGTAACACCCGGGTGTGCAATAGAAGGGTTCGGCCCCCTGGACTGAGCCCATTGTTGGTCAGCTGTCAGACGAGCCCTGGGGCTCCATGGGCAGCCCTGCCCAAGGGGCGGGCGGCGTCAGGTACTGCACTGGGATGTGTGTGTGCAGCTCCCACTAGAGTCTGTGTGGGCTGCGTCCGGGTACCCAAGGATGCAGATTGGCTTATGGAGTCTAGGGGTGTCTCTGTGGGGGCCTGCCAGCCCGGGAAGCATGCTTTCTGTTTGATGCTCTTGCCACCTATCCTGCTTCAGCAAATCGCTCTCTGGCCTCTCTGACGGGCCTGTCACAGCAGTATCCAGGTGTCTGGAGCAAACCAGCCTCAGCTCTCAGCGTTCCAATGCACCGTGCAGAGGGAGCTAAAGGTGCCATTTGAAAAGGCCCTTAGCTCTCTGGACTGTCGCCTGCGGGTTTCTGGCCTCATGAAATCGCTACCTCTGCAGCTGACAAGGGAGAGGCCTTTGCTGGCTCTGGAGGCTGCCGGAGCTTTTCAGTCTTCGGCCATGGTGACGTGAAGGCTGGAAATTGGTTAGGAATGGGCACAACCCCCACATTCGGGTAGCACCTGTCCCCGGGATTTCCCCCTCGCCTGCAGCTGCGGGCTTCACAGTGTTTGGATGCATTCACCCATCTGACAGCCAGGGGCTCAGCCAGACCCGAGGGCCTTCCGGTCTTTTGGTGTTCTAACCTGCAGTGAAGGCGATGGGCGTTGATGGCTGCTAGGACTGGATTGGCCTCCCTGGTCCTCTGCAGTCAGTGCTTCATGGTGATCTGGACGGCATGGGAGCCCCAATGGGACGGGATCTGTAGAGCTCATGGCATGGTCAGAGCTCCTGTGGGGCACTGGCTTCTTGTGTTATTTATCTACTGGACTTTTATCCCGCCCCCGCCCCCCAATATTTCAGACAAGAGGGGTGGGGGTTGGGGCAGTAGCAGGGCTTTGGAGACCTGAGATTTAGCGTGGAGTGGGCGACCTCGGATACTGCAGTGCTGGACGCAGTGTGAGAACTTGACTGGGATGGAATTGGTTTAATGGTTATTTGCCATTACATTAAGGATGGGCAGGGCCAGAGCTCCCGCCAGGCACCAGCTGCAGGAGCCTTGATCTAATGCTGGCTTAGCTCACCCCTGAAGAGTGGGCAGGGTGGCAGGCGGGACGCCGGGCACGTTTCAGCCACCTACCGGGGGTGCAGCTCTGCCCTCACCCCTGGCGAGTCAGTGTCAAGATGCAGCTGCTGGGTCAGTTTGCAATTGGGGTGAATGTGTGGCTGGCTTGGCAGGTGGTGGGAGGCCCTGCCCTCTGCCTGGGGCAGGCTCTTGAGGTATAATCAGGACCTTTGCCTTCTGTCCCGCACAGCTCCCCTGTGTCCCTAGCCTTGACTAGAGTGAGATCAACACCTGTCTGTCCGTGGGGGAATGTCAGTTCCAGTATGTGGGGGTGATGGGCAGTCCACTCGCAGGTTGTCTGCATCACGGGGGTGAAAAGCCCCAGATGGGCTGGGGACTGGTGATCTTTGCCCTGGGGAGATACCCAGCCATGGCTTGGAGTGCGCACACGTGGCTGCAGGATCCTGGAGCATTCAATCCAGTGCCCGGGCAGCTGTGCCTTACGGGAGGGGGGAATTCCAGCAGTGGAGAGCTGTGTGTTAGTGTAGGCGTGGCCCCCGCCACTCCCGCCAGCCATTTCTGTCTGACATGGTTGGTCAGGCTGCTGCCAGCCCGGCTCCCCTCGCCCTCCTTCAGCAGGCTGTCTGGAGTAGCTCAGTTGGGAGAGCGTTAGACTGACGATCTAAAGGTCTCGGTTCAATCCTGGGCTTTGGCAGGTCCTTTCATCCCTCTTTGTGCAGGGGTGTCTCGTTGCGGGGAGGGATAGCTCAGTGGTTTGAGCATTGGCCTGCTAAATCCAGGGTTGTGAGTTCAATCCCTGAGGGGGCCATTTAGGGATCTGGGGCAAAAATTGGGGATTGGTCCTGCTTTAAGCAGGGGGTTGGACTAGATGACCTCCTGAGGTCCCTTCCAACCCTGATATTCTATAATTACCCTGCCCTTTGTTAAGATCACACTGCACCGTCCTCTGCTGGGATCAGTCCCAGCGGTGCGTGCAGAGCCCCAAAGCATTGTCGGCAGCAGAAGACTTCCTTGACCTACATGGTGTAGTTTTGCAGGTAACCCCATAGGCAGCCCCTACTGCTGCACTTTGGGAGGGGAAGGCAAAGATGGACCCACCACGGCCCTGGCCCCTGGTGTGGCATCACCTCTCATGGGCTGTTCGGTGTGACGTTCTCTCTCCAGGATAACTGATCGCTAGGTGGTTTCAGAGAGTTCCCGCCATGAGGAGTTACGGCGGATCCATGCTGGAACGGCACCTCAGGCAGTATTTAACTGTCCTGTTTGATTGTTAATTGAGACTCACATAAATGCCGTTCATTGGGTAGTGCATGATGTCGCGCGACAGCTGGCAGAAGCCAGTCACTTTTCATTTAGCAGTGGAACGTGAGCTCAATTCCATTGTTTGTTAAAGGCTGTCACCCTTCAAATCTGCCCCCCTCTGCCCTGGCCCTCATCCCCAGATCCTTTCCTGTCCTTAGACACGTTAGATTGGCTGGTAAAGTGATGGCCGAGTTGACAGCTTAGCTCTGCAGCTGGGCGTGAGTAGAGCACAGGGAGTGGGGGAAGGAGCCTTCTGCAGCTCACAAGGCTAAAAGTCACTATCCCGCCTTAGAGAGCCAAGGTGGGGGAGGGAATATCTTTTATTGGGCCAACAGCTGTGGGTGCAGGAGACAAGCTTTGGGGCTACCCAGAGCTCTCTTGCAAGGGCTCTGTGTACCCAGAGTTTACAGCTGGGCCCAACCCCGACTGGGATCTGGATTCCAAGCCCTGATGTCAGGAATAGGAATGCTGTTGGTTGGAGTGCGGGGAAGGCCCAGCATTTACCTTCTCTCTGGGGCGGGAGCAGAGGTGGCGGCTGGGATGTAGGAATCCTTGGCTGAGGCCCTGACAGCTGGGACACGTTGGATATCCAGAGAGAAAGTTTCGGAGCCACTGTCCTGCTCAGACCCGCTTGTGCCTAAGGGCTCCAGCAATTTAGTCTGCACCATGGAAATGGAGGAATATCATCTGATCAGCCCCACAAGGGGCTTGGGGACATGCTGGACGCTGAGGCCCTGTCCTGTCTGCATGGGTCGAAGTCCGTGTCACTGTCCCAGAACCAGGCCTGCTGCTGCAGGAATTGCTCAAGTTCCTGGTGGTGTGGCCGCTTGTCACACCCTAGCGCGTGGGGCGTGGGCAGTGAGCTGAGCCCCTGTGGGGATAAGCCCCCGAAGCAGGAATACCCTCTGTGTGCAAATGGCCCAAGGTTTTCTGTAACGTGGTTAATTCCCATGTGAATTCCCTGCTGGGAACCGTTGATGGCTTCAGTACAGCCCAGACGGTGGCTAAGCGAGTCACCACCTTCCCCCGGGTAGGCAGGGGTTTTGTTCTCCATGGTGGATCTGGCCAGGGCATGAGGGTGAGTTCTGTGTGCGGACGCCTGCCCGATGCGGACAGGTGTGAATCCCAGCGGAGACAGTAGAGCCAGAGTGGGCAGGGCCTTTGGGATGGAGTTAAATCCATCAGCAATCCCTGGGGCTTCTGCCCCCCCCCCCCAAACTCTCCCAGGTCACACAAACCAAGGGGAGCAAGGTGGGTGCGGAGGGGACCGGGGCCTGGTGGAGTGGCGGCCCTCTGCTGTGAGGGGAATGGGTTGGCCTGTGGCTCAGCTGGACTAGTGGCTTGTCAGTCCCATTCCCCAGCCTCGCCGGCCCCGTCAAAGGAAAAGACCCGGTTTCTGCACCTCCCAGTGCACATGCATTTGGCAGCAGCCTCAGCGGCGCATGGGTTCTGGCGGGGAGGGGGAGCGCTCTGTGGCGAACGTGGCTTCGTGAGTCACTTCGCCCCCGGGGCACAATTAACTCCTAATAACCCCCTCCCCAGCCCAGCGGATCTGCTGGCTTGAAACCAGAGTCGTCTCAGAGCCTCCCTGGACAGAAAACAATCACCCCACCCCCCATCTGCTGCTGAGCCCCAGCATGGCTTGGACAGGGGAGAGGAGCGGCTGGGAAACACGACTTGGGATGTGACCTTTGAGGTGGGGTGTATCCAGTGCCCCTCACCATGGCATCTGGGCCCCACAGCAAACTTGGGAACAGTCAGGGAACACTCATTGGTTTTCCCTCCAGACACCCCGTCCGGTATCCTCACCCCAGGCAGGGGAGTCACCACGGCAGCAGGGGCAGGGAGCCAGGCTCTTTAGCTTCTATACTTGGCAGTATTTCTGAATCACCCTGTGCCTCAATTTTCCCATCTGTTAATTAGGGGTAATACCAGTGCCCTCATTGTGTGGGGCCCAGGGCAGGGGGCTGTGAGGCTCCCCGGACTGTCTCTAATGCCCCTTGGGACTCTGATGAGCTGCCCCGTAGAAGGCGAGGGATCCCTTCCCACGTGTGTTCTCAGTCCTTGCTGGCTGGCTGCATCTGGGCCAGCGGTACTCGTGCCCTGCAAGGTGTAAAATTGCTTTCCTGGAATCTGCCCACAGCTCTGGGCCCTTAATCTCCCTTGGGATTAAAGTGTCAATGCAGGGGGAGCTGCCGGGGGAGGGCTGGACTGTTGGCTGGAAGTGATGCTGGCACTGACTGTCTGCTCTCTCTGTGCCCTGGCATGGCCCCCGGAAGCCTCCAGGCGCTGAAGAGCGGAGGGAAAGGATAGGCAGAGGAGTGGCACCCAGAGCCCGGCTAGCGCCCGGCGTTGGCACAGCAAAGCGCCCTCCTCGTCCCAGGCAAATGGCTCACCGGGCGCTCTGCCCCTTCCCAGCTCTCAGCCCGTCCTCTGTTCCCAGGGGGAAGCAGGGGCAAGTGACTCTCCCAGGCCAAGAGTGTGAGCGCTGGGTGGGGCTGGGCTGACACCAGAGCCGTGTGGGTCACATCCTGCTTCTGGATCCATGCTGTGTGCACGGCTGTTTTCTGCCTGCTTGGGCCCTGGGGCATGGGATGGGATCAAACGCTGGGGGGCCGTAGCTGATCCCTGGGCCCTATCTTGCTCTGCAGGGAGTACTGATGGGGAGGGGATGACGGGTGTTGCAGAGGAAGCACTCTCAGCAGGAGGGGGTTGGTGCTAGAGTTTTGCTGACTTGACTGTAAAATGTAAGGGTGGGATTTTCAGACGCTCCTAAGTGCATCAGAGGCACAGATCTCATTGATTCGCAGTGGGAGTTGTGCTCCTAACACATCTCTGTGCTTGAACCAAGTGGGAAGTTTCTGTAATACCTTTTGATGATGCCTGTGTGTGCCTCAGTTTCCCCTATACTTTGTATGGCTTCCCCCTGGGGGATAAGGATTAAGTTTGTTCTCAGGGCAGGCTAAAACAAAACCAATCCAAGAAGACAATGGGATGGCCTAGTTCCCAGAATATTGACACCTAGCAACCAACCACCCAGAGGGAGGGGGATTTCCCTGCCCTTAGCAGGCCCCAACGTGAGAACAAAGGACTGGGAGATGGGAGGGCAAGAGCTGGCTGCTGGAGGAGGCTGGGGGCTGTTACCTGGGAACTGACTAAGGAAGGAAGTCAGAGAGACAGAGCCTGCAAATGGAGGTCACTGCAACTTGGCTGGTGGATTGCTCTGGAATGGCCAGGATGGTCCAGGCCGGGGTAGGCAACCTATGGCCGATTTTCAGTGGCACGCACACTGCCTGGGTCCTGGCCACCAGTCCGGGGGGGGCTCTGCATTTAATTTAATTTTAAATGAAGCTTCTTAAACATTTTAAAAACCTTATTTACTTTACATACAACAATAGTTTAGTTATATATTATAGGCTTATAGAAAGAGACCTTCTAAAAACGTTCAGATGTCTTACTGGCACGTGAAACCTTAAATTAGAGTGAATCAGTGAAGACTCGGCACACCGCTTCTGAAAGGTTGCCGACCCCTGGTCTAGGCTTTAACCATCAGTTCTGTGCTAACCTCAGGACTTCCTGGGCAATGTGCCAGGCAACGAATACACCCGGCTGTTCGGAAAAGGCTGGTTCAGTGTCACTGTGAGTACACAGTGAGCTGCATTCCTCCCTGCAGAGTGGGCAAGTCTCGATCAGGGCTCTGTCTCTGCTGGGCTCACTGAACAGAGCTCACGGTGTGAAACAGGAGTGCTAGGGCCCCAGAGGGTCGGTCTCTGAAGGTGGGGAGGCTGCAGGGCCTGCCCTGAAGGAAGAGTGAGACCCGTTGGGGGTCCCCCAAGAGACTGTTCCATGTTGGGACTGTAGCTCCGATCCTGTGGATCTGCGACAGCTGCCTTTGCAAATTGCATGGTGTGTTTGTACAGAATCTTTAGCCAGTGACTGCCTTGCCCACTGCTGAAATGCAGCCTGCTCTGGTGTGAAACGCGGCTGTAGTTTGACAGCAGTCACCACAGCGCACTGAGAAGAGCAGCGCCGGGAGGCAGAATGGAATTACCTGGATTGCAGTTCGGGGGCCTGGGGTTACGTCTCCGGTTCTTGCCAGAACAGCATGTGAAACTTTGCCCAGGGGTGTTTTTCGGGTGGCAGTGGTCAGCTCGTGGCTTTTAAGTTGTGTTGTGAAGACAGCTCGGCTCCTCCAGCAGCCAGCCCTCTCTGCCGGGTGCTGGAGATGCCAGAGTTTGGCAAGCAGGCTAAGGACGCGGGTCCTGGCGACTGGCTGTGGATTGGCTGTCAGTATCGGAGCAGCGCCCAGTCCAGAGTGGGGCTGCACTGTGCCCATGGCCCTGTTATCTGCCTCGTGGCAGCTGCCCTGCCCGTACCGCAGCCCTCGGGGAT